AGTGAGAAATTGGCACCAAGGTCATTAGAAGTTAGAAGTTAGAAAGTGCCAAAGATCTAATTTCTAGGGAAGGGTACTTGACAACCCACGTCCATTATGTTCAGATTCATCCTGGTTCACCAAAGGCACACTACCGAGGTAAATTCAATCATGGGTGTATAGACAAGTCATTGACTTGATGGGTTGCTTTGGAGTCACATTTCCATAGAATGACCTTTTACTATTTATGCAAAGAAAGGGAAGATATTTACAAGAACAAAGTTATAGATTTGAATTTTAGATTAACTGCAATCACTAAAATTTAATCGCATGGCATCTTTGTTATGAATTTGTTGATCATTTATATTTTTTAACAGATTTGTGAGATTTGTTAGCACATTAGAAGTTCTTGAGAGATTTGTGATAGTAAAGAAAGAGATTGAGTAGATTAAGAGTTTAATTTTAGTCAGATGAAGCTGCTGTGGCAGCAGATGTAGATGGTATGTCTTTTTTTTTTTTTTTTCAAGGTCTATACCAATGAAATTATCTATTTGTAAAGGTAGAGGTCTATACCCACGGCAAAATTTTTTAAAATTTATGAAGGTCTATACCAATGGACAAGTCTTCCATTGGAATAGGTCCCAAGGGTCTACATAGATGGATTAGGCATTGGTATAGATCCTCTATTGATGAGGTTTCTACTGACTAAAAGCTCTTCCATCGGAACAGTCCTTGGGGGTCTATACTGATGGAAAAAGGGTGTATATAGACGGAAAACTTCCGTCACTATAGATACATTTGCTTGTAGTGATCGTAACTTAAAGAATATGACTAAGAGTAGGAAAACTAAAAGTAAGGTATAATGCTTTATTATTTAGAGATATGATAATCATTACATAGGTAGCCTTTATATTGGCAACAACCTAGTGAATAATTAAAAACCTTGAAACCTTAAATCAGTCTAGCATAATAATTTAAGAGCAATTTGCATAACTGATTCAATAACTATTAGTGCATATCTCCTAAATATCCTTAATAGATGGGTCACAAGCTTTACCCCGTAGAGGAGCCAGTCAACCAACCCTGCTGCTAGTGCCATGGAACATCCAGAGCTAGCAACTATAGTGACTAGTTTGCTTGTTTATGATTAGACAATCATCAATCAAGTAGACAACTTGATTAATATTTCTTCTTAATAATTTTGAGTTTAATTAAGTTCAATAGAGATAAATTATTTTAATATATTCTTCAATAGGAAAATCCTTAACCCTTAGCAATGCTATGACTAAACATCACAGAACTAGAAATGATGGATGGACAAAACATTGGTTATTAGTATTTTAAAAGGGAAATTACTAAGGGAAAGGGATGTATTAGTTACAGCTGGCTATGCAATCCACTTATTGAAAGGAATTAAAAAGGTATTCAATTTAATATCCTCCATCTTTTTGCAGTCATTTCAATGGTTCTTTATGTTGCATCAAAGGGTTAGTAGTATACACCAAAGGATGGTTAATCAAACAACATGGGCATGGAAGAGATCAATTCTTCAATGGCATGAACACTCAAATGGGGCAGGAACAGGCTGGATTTTGCAAAACAAACCTTCATTGATTCCTGCAAATGATTTGTGTTAGTGTTTCAAAGTGTTTGCTTTAGATATCCAAGTATAATATCTAAAATATTGTCTGAATAACGTATTTTTAAATCACATGTTGTGAGATTTACTTGATTAGAAAAATATATGTAAGAATGTTTAAAAGTTAAAATTTTAGTCGTTAAGTTTAAGAATGATCTCTAATATTTACTCATATTGACCAAACCATGCATTTCTTGCAATGCTTGTGAAACCCACAAGATTCAAGCACACGCATGTGCAGCTTAACTATATGGTTGGCATTGTAATTAATTTCACTCTTAAACTTTTTTCCTTTTTCAAACTACCATAAATTGAATGTTTGCCTAAAAGTGGAAAGAAATTTAGAAGGAAATCAACCATTGCCCCTTCATATTTTTTACTAAGTTGAGGCTGAAAGGGAAAGGAGTGGAAATAACTGAAGGACTCGAGATTGTGTACTTGGTTGTCGGCCGAGAAGAGAAAGGACTTCAATGTTTAGAAGGCCTAAGTTGTTGTAATTGTTGGGCCATGTAATCCTTTGGGCTTGATTTTTTTAGTCCGTTTTGCTAACATCACTACAAGAAAACCTAGCTTCACCGACCACATATCACCGAGGTAAGAAGTTTTCTCAGTGAAGCATCATTTTACTAACAAGAATTAAGTCTACAACATGAGAAACAATAGAAATGCCAGTAAGATATATTATTTATTGTACAGACGTAACACTTGTCGGTAATTTAAGTTTATACATACGTGTTACTTGTCAGTAATTGCAGCCACCACTCCGGCCAGTGGGGGAAGGACGGAAAGGCACATCACCGACGAGAAGCACGCCTGTAAATTTAATTTTGGAACGATAGTCTCATCGGTAACTGAGGATCAATTTCCAATGTTCATCTTTTCGGTAATTTCCACTCCCAATGCACCCCCGCCAACTAGTTGGCTCCCTGCATCAGGGAGTGCAGCTTTTTGATGAAATTTTCCGACATAATCCTTGTCGGTAATTTGCCATTCAGCAACTCCCCGCGAATCCGGCTGCTGACCACTGGTGTTGCAGCTTTTATTTTCCTTACTGATAAGATGTAGGTCGATAATATATGCATTGCCAACTTCATGTTCGTTGGTGATTGGCCCGGTCAACGAGAATCCTGATGCAATGCAGAGATGATCAGCTTTATACTGTAGCAATGTGGGTTTTGTCGGTAAGTTTCCCTATTGCCCTGTCGACCCGCCCTTCTGCTTTCATTTTGGTCTTTCTCCTTTCATTTTCATTTTCCTCTTGTCCCACGACTTGTTCTTGCTCCCTTTCCTCCATTCTTCCCTTTGAAGCACTTTAACACATTTTTCTTCTTGCAATCTAGTGGATCAAGCAGTGGTAAGTAAAATTTAAGTAGTATTATTATTTTTTATATATTTTATGTATATTTT